AATGTGAGACGACAAGAACAATGATCGAGACGGCAAAAATCAAAACCACATCACGAGAACATTAGACACAAAAACGACATGAAAAAACAGAAAACTGGCTTTTGTGGTCAATGTCAAAAGACCAAATAATTAAAAGCACATGAAAATATAAATTATCTCATAACTAGGGCACTAAAAAAAAAAAAAAAAAAAAAAAAAAAAAAAACCAAAACCGATCAACTCTGATGATAAAATTGACCGTAAAAAAAAACCTATAAAATCCGATAAAAACTGATTTCAATAGATGGTTAATTGAACTGCCAAAACCCCCATTTACACTTAAAAAAAAAAGAAAAAAAAAAAAAAAAAAACAGTTTTGTGCGTGAGGTTTAAATCCTCAACTTGAGGATAGTGAACTACGTCCTTGCCACTAATCCACACAAAACATAAGACATCGTTTATTTTATTAATTTAAATTTTTAATTCTAATTTTATTAAAAATTTTTATAAAAATTTATATTTAATTTTTTTATTACAATTAAAAATTTATACATTAAGTTACATTTTAATTCAAATTAAAAATTTAAATCAGCGAACTGAATAAATAATTTTTAATAATTTTATACGTTGTTTACTTTTGGTCTTTATGTAAAATTTCGAAAGGACAAATTTTGAGAAATCCCACATGGGAAAAAAAAACACTAATATTTCTCTTCCCACTCTTAAAAAGATAAAATAAGCCTGCGCTTTTTTTTTTTTTTTTCACTCTAATATATTTCTATATTTTTTTCTTCTATTAATTTTATGTTTAATGTCTGCTTGTTGCAACATGTTGCGGATGACATAATAGATAACTTCTTGCCACGTGGGACCAGATACTTTTATTGTTCTTCTTTCTTCTTCTTCTCCTTTTTTAATTTTTTCATTTTCACCGTCTCCTTCTTTGTCATCTTTTTATCTGTGGTCTCTCAAATAAATTCCAATATTCTTGGTAGATTTTTAGTTCTAAAAATTTTGGTCAATACTATATATAACACCCTCCGCTTATAATTTTAATCCTTCCCATCTCATTTTAGCGCAGAAAAATGGGAATAATTAAGAGAGATTTATGCGTTCTCACAGGTAGAAAAAAAATTATTAAGTTAGGAGCTTTCTAGAATTTGAAAAATAATTTTTTTTTTATTTTTTATTTTTATTAAAGAAAAGAGAGCTGGGAAAGCCTCTAGATAAAAAGATACAAAAACAAGGAATATCCAATATTGTCCTTTAATTTGTAGAGACGAAGACAAGGAAATTTTTTTTTTATGTCTGCCTTTGTTTTTAAACATCTGATATATTTGGGAGTCCTTTTCAGTTCTCTCTTACTTGGGCATGGTTTTGGAAATATACATGTGTATATATGAATATATGTATGTCAGGTGATTTTGTATGATTAAAAGCTGATGTTCATAGCCGATTCACATGTTTTCTACCTGTTTAGCTTCTAAAATTGATTAAGAACATTAGATGAGAAACATGTTTGTAGTCTCTCACTATGCTTTTTTGTTGAAATTTTGACTCAAAATTCTATATTATTTTGTTGATGTTTGTGACAAATTTTGGTTCAAATGTATGTTGTTAGTGCATGTTTGCTGTTTGTTGAATTGCCTGACTAACTAACTTAGTGCTTGTTTTTAATCATCTATCATGCTTACTATTTTACTAGTTACTGTATTAATTTTCCTTAAAGAGTCATACACGAGGAAGATAAAAACAGAGATTTAAATGTGCAAGTTAATGAACTTTATTGTCATTGCTATTTTATGTTAGCTATAGAAAGTTGGATGCAGATAAATATCATTAAAACGTTTGTTTACAAATATTGGAAAATCAAGATTTGAATGTAAATGAGGCAAATCACATATATTAGTTATAACTTTACATTTTTTTTTTCCTTTTAATACTAGCATGAAAGATATGCCTAAGGCACGTCCTCGTTTGTAACTTTTTTTTAATACTTTGCAATTTGCAGGCTCTTATTTTTTCTAAAAGAAAATATTGTTACAAAACAATTATAATTATTTTCTTTAATTGTTTCTTTATAAAATATATAAATAAATATGCAAATAATTCAACTAATAGTTGGAATTAAACTTAAACTTGTATGACATACTAACAAATGTTTTAATTGTTACAAACATGAATACAAATAGTCAACATAATTACTATTTTTCAAATTGAAGAATAATACAATGAAATTTTTCAAAAAATAGTGTATACAATCAACCTAATTAATATTTTTCAATTTTTCAAAAGAGTACTTAAAGATTTACAAGTTGAAAATATTTAAGAAAATAAAAAAAAAGAAATTATTTGATGCAAAAAGGGTAAATTAATAAAAAAAACTATTAGGGATGCATTTGAAAAAAAATGAAATTTTAAATTATGACATGAATAAATATTAATTTGTTATATCTTTGAAAAAAAAATGTTATTGGGCAAATTGGTGAAAAAATTTTTTAATAAGAAAACACTCTTAAATACAATATTTCTTAAAAAAAGAAAAAACTTAATTAATATATATTATCATAATATCCCAGCCAATAAAAATGATTAGCAAATGCACTTTTAATATATTAACATATGTAATATTTGCTATATATACTAATATATTTATAGGTACTAATATATAAAGTAATATTAATGTAAAAGATAAAATATATTAGCATCAAATAGTATTAATATATTAATAGTATTAGTATAACAAGTTGAATAATTATAAAAGCTACACAAACAAGGTTACAAAAAATAAAATGAAATAAATAAAATAACATAATGGTAGAAAAAGAAGTTAAAGTAATTTTTTCATTAGCTTTCATTTTCACTTCTATATATATTGAAGCACGAGGTGTAAGAAGAAAACATTATCAATGTGGAGAAATCTTAACCATTGTATTTAAAAAAAAAAAAGAATTGATTTATGATGACCATTGGATTAGAGGTTGAAGTACGTACAAAACTCATTTGCCATCATTCTCCCTTCTTTGTATAACTTTATATATTTTGGCTCGCTCTTTTCATATTTTTGAATTTTGTGATTATCAATATACCTTTTTTCTTAGTAGATGCTATATTATTTCAATTAAAAAAATGCTCTATTTTACTGTTAAAGATATATGGAATCTCAGTTAAAAATAACAGCGCTGCAGCGGGATTTTTCCCGTTGCAGCCAGTTTTTCCGTGCTAATGTAAACTTAAGTCTCATTTTACACTGATTCGGGAGGAGATATAAATAGAAAACGACCTAAGAACTAAAAGGTTTATTTATCTTTTTGTGTTTTTATTCCTGAAGTGTTTGGTTGAGTGAATAACAAAATACCATGATCCATCCTTATCATGTGGTTAAAGTCTGTTTGTTTGTGCGTTCTTCAAACATTTGGATGTTTTGGGTGTCTTGCTCTACCAAGACTTTCTATTTGAGGGTATATGTTCTGTATGTTGTTTTTTTCTTAGTTTTCTTATTTTTTGATTTTTTAAATTATTTTTATGTTTTTAAGGGCATTTTAGGTATTTTTTACGTCAAAATTAAATGTTGACCCACAAAAAGTACGAATTTATGTATTAAATATAATTTAATGGTATTGATGAGATAAAAATAAAAGGATTTTGAATAAATCTAAAAATACAGTGTACAAAAAGATAAACAAACCTTAATGAAAATAAAGCTTAATAGTAAGGCTTTTTATATTTTAGGCTTTAAAAACTCTCTTCTAAATTTTGATTATGTAAATAGTTAAGATTTTTTTTTTAAAAAAATGAGCCTAGTTTAAAATTGTTTTATAGTCGATGTTCATGTTTAAACATTAACAGAAAGCTTATTATTTTAGAATTTTTTTTTTTTCACTTTTGGCTATAAATATTTTTTTTCTTTTGAATTAATTATAAAAGTAGTTAAATTGAAAAAAAAAAAAAGGAACATAGTACAAATTTGTTCATAACAAGAGGTAAAATGATGGAGAACGAACCATCGACAACCGATTGTTGTTAGTCGGTAAATCGACCGGTTCCTCTTATGCTCGATTTGGTTGTCGATTCTCATCCCTCAATTAAAAGCAATAACCTTAAAAAATGACAAGAGAACACTGAACGACGATAATAATCTTAATAAACGACGATAAATTTTGAAAGAGAAAGACGAGAAAAATCAGACAGGTAAGAGTAACAATAGACGAAACAACATCAACAAATGACTACTCATCAAAAAGAAAAAAAAAATCAAAGGACAAGAAAACAAAGACAAGCACCAAAACGATAAGCAAAGACAAAAAAAAAAAAAAAAGAATAAGCGACGAAAATATCTCAAATTAAAGGACGTAAAAGATCGTGAAACTTTGACGTCATTAGCTCAGCTCTACTCCGGCTTCTCTTCGAGCTGCTAACTTTGTCGCTGCTCCCTTGCTTCTTCGTGGTGGTGATCAGCGTGTCATCAGAGATCTCGCGGATGTCACTTGGTTATACGCTTTTGTTTTAATAAAGGCATTGATGTTTCCATCGTTTAGTTTTAGTGTGTTTCTATTTTGTTGTTAGCTGCCGACGTGTATTCCGCTTTATTTTGTATAACTAAAGTGGTTTCGAACCTTCGGACTTTAGTTGTTTGTCTCCCATCAGTGTGAAATTGTTGGCCCGGCTAGAATCTTTTATAGGTTGTGGTGGTGCTGATGTTCTTTCTTTATAGGGTTAATATACCTCTTCAGAACTCAGAAATTTATCTTGATGGGAGTAATTTCTTCAATTAGAGCCTTAAGTGTGCTCGTAGTTAAAGTGTCGAGGTTTTCTCCCGTTTTCGGGCCTTGAGCATTCATTTGTTCCTCTTATGAGCCATTAACATTGTAATGTATTTGATTGTTTGTTTAAATGTAATTTCTCATTCAAAAAAACTGTTATGCCAATTTTTGGGGTTTGGTCGAACAGTCTATGAGGAGTAGAAAAATCAACGTGGGATGGGAAAAAAACGTGGCACAAAAATTTACTAGTCAGCCCATTTTATTTACGCACGTAATATAGAGATCTTATAACAATGAAAAAAATTATAAAAATGCAACTTATTAAGATTTTATTTGCATTCAAGATTATCTTGCGTACATTTCAACTTGATTGCGGAAACATCTTGATCTTGGGTGGTTTCTTTTTCACCTAGTATTTTCACTATGTTGTCCAAAGCATTTTTCGCTGCTCTGTTGTGAGCAACTTCTTTCTTTAGACCATAGCTAGCCGTTCCCACAAGCTGCCCATCAACGAAGACATCAAACGCCATGTTTTTAGCCCACAAGTCGACAAATTGTACTTTCATGTTGTTTTTTTGGCACATTTCATATAGTTCTGTAACTGGATGCTGCTTCATTGTTTCTGGACTGATTATGGGCTCCAAAAGACCCTCAAACGCCTGATAACAAGGGAATGAAAGAAAAAAGAAATGGCACATAAATATCCAAGTTCTTGTGCTTATATGAAAAATTACTTGGTAATTAGATCTAGAAGTAAAATGTGCAAGCAGATATAGTTATGAGTTTATTATTATTATTATTATTATTTTATATTTAAATGATGTGAGACTCGAGGTTATAATCTCTACATGTATTCATGTCTGTCTAAAAGTAAAATGATAAAGCATATATGGATAATATTTAAATTACAAATAATCTGTTGATGATAACAATGATGTATGTCTATTATATAGTAACACAGTTATACAAATTAATACTTGGACGGCAATCATTAATTTTGATCATGTGTTAGTTACATATAATGTTTCTATATAGATAACAATAAATGCCCTTATAAATATTTTCCGCTCTATAATATCTAAATATATTCAGAACGTTTCTATCAAGGCATTGAAAACACATACAAAAAATAGTAAAGAGTGAGCGTGACAGATGGAGAAAAAGAATTACCTTCCAGACAGTGTCTAAAGAGGAGTTGCTATCTACGAAAACAGCTCCTATTGCGGATTCAACAATATCCGCTAGAACTTTTGGCACGTCAATAAGGCCATTGGAATGCAGAGAATAGTCTGAGATCTCTAGGGTGAACTTCTTAATCTGTATAAGTCAAACAACAAGTGGTGAAATTTATTAATTAGATAAATGACCAATGAAAACAATGTATGTTTATACTCCCAAAGAGGAAAATAACCAATTAAATATATCATACAATAAAACAAGGCCATAACTTGTTATAGCAATGACATATTTCACACTAAATAATAGCAATGAAATATTTCACACTAAATAATAGCAATAAATTGATTTCTTAATCAACCGGACCATCTTCTTTTAGACTAATACTAAAAGGGTTAAAGATTAGACAGTTACAATGTGATCATAATCAAATAAATCAAAATAAAGAACATACTAATTAGTACAAAGCTACAGCTAAACCCTCGGAGGTAATTCCTAATTGGCATTTTTTTTCCACCCTAAGGCATCAAAATACTCACGGCTCACACAATTATGTCCGATTTGACACAACTTTTACTTGCTTTTTCGTGAGTAAAAGAAAGTAAATAAAAATTCTTCAATTTGAATGGATCAAAATGATTTTCATATTTTCTTATAAACAATAGAAATGTCAGAGCAAAGTATGGAATGTTCTGTTGAAATTTTAGTACAAGTTTCAAAATTATGTAGAAGAGCTCTTGAGAGTTAAAGATTTTTTGACATATCATCCTAACACTTTCAAAATAATTATTGTCAAAAACCTTAGACATATTATCTAAAAGCATATATTGGAGTGAAAAAGTTAAAAATAAATAGTAGCGGAGCCACTCGAGACTGAGTGAGGATAGTTACCTCACTGAGCTATTTTTTTTCTTTTCTTTTTTAAATAAAGTAACTGTTAAAGTATAAAACTATTGTTGGCCTACCTCCTAACAGCTTAAGCTTTTGGGATGGATTGGTAAACTAACATGGTATCAGAGCGGGAGGTCCTGAGTTCAAACCCCCGTAATTGCACTCTTTATCCCCATTTAAATTGTCATCACGTGTTGGGTCTTTAATATATCTCGGGCTTAAATATTCACGTGTTGGGCTTTCCAATTAATTTACCCACACGATTGCCCATTGTCCAGTCCACACGTGAGGGGGAGTGTTAAAGTATAAAACTATTGTTGACCTACCTCCTAACAGCTTAAGTTTTTAGGATGAATTGGTAAACTAACAGTAACTCTACGTGATTTTCAAGTTTTACAATGTCCATCCCCTGAGCTTCACACATTTTTATTTTTATTTGTATATACTTCAAGGAAAAAAAAAATAGTATATACCCCGCTAAAGTAAAATTCCGGTTTCGCCACTTGAAACCAAGGATTCTTTGTTAAACAGCCAATCATCATTCTAATTCCACTCTTCCAAAACGTCAAATATGAAAATTTTTAACTCAGAGTTGTAGCACAAGTTGCCAGCTTTCTTATACCAAACAAAATGATAGGATAAAATATAACAATCGTATACTACTACATGCTAATAAATCAATTAAACAAACACATCATTAGCAAAAATAAACAAACTTCATTAACCTAATTCGACCTTTTCCAAATCAAACCTTGAATTTACACGAACAAAACACAATCAATTGTCAATAGAACCTTTACCTGATCCTTGAAGAGAGGCTTGTTGTGGCGTAGAAAACGATGCAAGCCGTGCTTGATGGCGACGCGGGCGAGCTTCTCGGTGTCGACGTTGGAGGCCCGGAGGCGAGTCAACTGCCCCGACGAGAGCCGCGGATAGAGGAAGAAATGCACCTTCGAGAAGAGCAGGTTCAAAACGGCGTCGCCGACGTACTCCAATCGGTCGTACGACACGCCGTTTCCCGGCGAGAAAGAGACGTGCGTAAAAGCCTCTTCTAGTAACGCCCGGTTCTCGAACCTGTACCCGATGATCTCTTCCAGTTCGTCGAGATTGATGATGTCCGACTCGTCGCTGCCGCTCTCTGGAAGCTTCTCTGTCTGTTTCTCTTGGACTTCATCCATGACGGAATTATGGCGGAGAAGAGATTTTCAGATTTTTTATTTATTATTATTATTATTATTATTTTGAGAACTCTGCTTTCTTGCGACGGAAGAATTGTATTGTGAAGAGAAAAGAAATAATGGTGAATGAAGAATTGTCAACAGCTGCTGAGGAATGAGGATTGTGAAGAGCTATAAAAATAAGACGGTTGAAGTTTTCGAGGTTGGAAAGGATACAATTTTATTTTATTTATTTATTATTATTATTATTTTGTGTGTGTGAAATTTGGAAAGGACTCGAATTGAGGTGGATAAATGAGGTTAGTTGGAGCATGGATCATGGACGTGTTGAACAAGGAAACTGAAAGTTGACCTGTATATAGATTTAAAATATATATTATTATGTTTTTATATATTTCGTGATATCAGTATGCCACATTTACGTAATTAGCTGGTGTAGTTTGACATTTTCAGCTCGTTTCTTTACTGTTTAAATTTATAATTTTAATTCTGTTATAATATTTTTATTTTATAAAAAATTTAAAATTTAAATATTAAAATTAATAATTATTGATTTAAATGTATAAATTAATCGGGCCTTACTGATTTGCCATTTTTCTTTGAGGAAGCGAAATGTCATTTTGTGTTTATGTTATTGTTAGAAGAATAATTTTTTAGGGGTGAAAAAACCCATGGACATTGTATAGTTTTAAATCATTTAATCATATTATAATTATATCAGAATTTTAATAGATTTAAAAGTTTTTCTTTTTCACAACTTAAGTTCTACTGTTACAATGTTTTCTCTTATAAAATTCAAATTCAATTTTTTTATTATAATATTTTTCTCTCATATACACAATTCAAATTTAACTTAATTTGTGAAACAAACTTAAGATTCAAAATTGTGTTTACAGTTTTTTTTTCGTACCATATCATTTAAAATATATATTATTATGTTTTTATATGTTTCGTGATATCAGTATGCCACATTTACGTAATTAGCTGGTGTAGTTTGACATTTTCAGGCTCGTTTGTTTATGCGTTTAAATTTATAGTTTTAATTTTGTTATAATATTTTTATTTTATAAAAATTTTAAATTTTAAAATTAAAAATTACTGATTTAAACGCATAAATTAAACGGCCCTTACTAATTTGCCTTTTTTTTTTTTTTTTGGAGGAAGCGAAATGTCATTTTGTGTTTATGTTATTGTTAGAAGAATAATTTTTTAGGGGTGAAAAAACCCATGGACATTGTATAGTTTTAAATCATTTAATCATATTATAATTATATCCGAATTTTAATAGATTTAAAAGTTTTTCTTTTTCACAACTTAAGTTCTACTGTTACAATGTTTTCTCTTATAAAATTCAAATTCAATTTTTTTATTATAATATTTTTCTCACATATACACAATTTAAGTTTAACTTAATTTGTGAAACAAACTTAAGATTCAAAATTGTGTTTATAGTTTTTTTTTTTCGTACCATATCATTTAATTCTCTTCGTAAATAGTCAATTTCAATTTTGACCTCCAACTATTCACCTCGTCCTATATTGGCTTTTTTTTTTTAAGGGTTATTAGCTTTCAAATTTTAAGAGGATATATATAATTTGCATCCCAAATCTCTGATTAATTAAGGGGATGTTTAGATAAACTTTCTTTTTCGAAGGATGTTTTAGATAAACTATGCCTAGTAATTTTAATTAAACAATTAATAAAAAGAATATTATGCTCCCAATCTCTACTCATCCTCGTTAGCCAACTAGGGGTGTGAGTGTTAATTTATTTGAGAAGCATGATTTGTCTAAGGAGCATTAATAAGGCCGTAGTCATGTGGTTGATTTCATGAATTTTTTAAAGATTTTTATGACAAAACATAATTCGAGGCTTAAATTGATATTAACTCAAATATTTAAAACTTTAGCTTTTGAATTTGAATTATTCTTGGAGAAAACTTGGAATTTGGAATTTTGCTTGAAATATGGATACATTGTTAAATAGGTATATTCATTCTTTTAAAAATATAAAGTATATTCTTTTCTTATTTCATTTCATCATGTGTTAACCTCTAGCATTTTTTTTGGGTTGGGTTCTTTACACATATAGCAATATTTAAAGAGTATGTTATTCATAAATGGTGTTCAACAAAATGGCTAATATTTTCAACCAATTTAATATTGAACCGTAAATCTTGTTAGTCTAAACATAGAAAGACAGGACATAACCATCTTAAAGTAGTCAGATTTGTGGACTCAAATTTGTTGTCTAATTTTAGTGTTTTAATTAGTATCTAACCAATAAATCATGCCACGTCATGTAAAAAATTTGAATTGATTTTTAACTAATATTTTTGTGCTTATCATGGTTTAATGTAGTATAATTTAATTAGTTTAGGATACCAAAAATTAAACAGCAGATTTGGATCCGACATTTATTTACAAATATGTTATCAAAAATCCAAAAGAAAAAAAAATCCAAATTTTCTTTTCTTGGCCAATGCAAACATTAATTAATGAAGGATTAGGATGTAATAATTTATATCCGTGCATGAACAATGCTAGGTCGTGGAGATTCCACAACTTAAGTCTTCCCTACAATGAAACAAGCACGCCTTGGAATTTAAGCCCACATAAGAATCATGTTATAAGACCAGTTTGGTAGTGCTGTAGATTTTAAAAAAAAAAATTTTAGCTATGCTGAAGGAAAAAATAACTGTTACAAAAAGCAGCTAGGTGTTTGGTAAACTGTAATTATACAAGTGTTACTAGTTCCAAAAGCAGCATAATAGCGTTTGGTAAATTGTGAGGTTTAATTGCTGTGGGTAGTTAAGATGATCGTAATTAATAATCTTAAATTAATATATAAATTAATTAATAATTGATAATTATTTATCAAATAAAAATTAGTAAATTAGTAATTAAACTATGTACTCATATTTATTAGATTATAAATAATTAATTAGTGTATTAAGAAAAATAATTAGTATATACATAATTTATAAATATTCTTTTTACTACTTAAATTATTAACTTTTAGTTACATAATTAAATAATTAGTTAATTAATTACTAATGTTTATTAATAATCTATTATTTGATATATCACCTGATCAATTTTTGGTAATTATTATTTTTATAATAATTAATTACTAATTATTAATTATTAATTATTATTGATTAACTTATTACATATTGATAATTATAATTTAATATTAATTATTAATTGAGTAATTACTATTTATTTTTTATTTACTAACTATTTACTAATTAATAGATTATAATTAAC